TGGATTTGTTCTGAATAGGGCGTCATGCATTGCTGCAGGGACAGGGACGTAGATTAGGTTCTGTATAGGGGAATTGTTCATACTTAGAGCTGCCCGAAATTGGCACAAGCAGTAGATTCCCCCTCTCTGGAGATTTTTAAGCATAATGAGTTTTAAAAGAAATTGTTTTATAAACTTTCCCAATCTGTGATCTGTATATTTTTCTAGTCCCATTCCTTTGCTTTGAAAACAAATTTTGTTAAAAGAACATTTATGAAGACCTAACATGCGCCGGGTATCCCTAGAGGCACCCTGAGCCCTCACTGGCAGGCTCACAGCAGCCTCCAGGGGCAGGCAACCTGGGAACTATGACACCATGAAGTCCATGAAGCCAGCCCCCCAATCTTTAGAGCTGCTAAGCAGGCGGGTACACATTTATTTTCAGTTCCTTGCATCCCCTTTTCTGGACTCATTGTCCACTTATAGGTCTCTACCCATATTCCACCTATTCTTGTTACAAAAGTTTCAGTATGCTCCCAAGTCAAACTTGGTACCTAAGTGATTAATTCCAAGTAATTTTTACATTATCTTGTTTTTTATTTCTGCCAAAAGATATTTGTACTTCAAATGAAGGGTTTTGGTTCCCAAAGAATCTGTAATTGGTAGAATATTGCACTCCTAATTCCACTAACATAACTCTACCTCTCCTCATGAACATGCGTGTGTTTATACATACATGCGAGTGCGCGCAGGTCACACACACACACACACACACACACACACACACACACACACACCCTGATTTTATTGAAGGAACCAGTTGCCTGACAATCTGTTGTTTTTAGTTTTTTTAAGCTCCCTTACTTGGTGAAATCTAGTCTCAAAACTCCAAGTTTGGCCAAGGAAGAAAGGCCCCTATTGAGGATGGAGATTCAACCATAGTCTCCGAGTTTTACTTTTTCTTGGAGTATATTTTGCTGAATTCTTCTGCCACTACCACACTGGCCTCAGGGAAGCACACCTCCCTTTCCCAGTTCCTCCAGAATGCAGTGGGAGCCCCTTCTCAAACGGGCAGGACGACCCACCTAAAGGCAGCGCAGTGCAGAGGAAGGAGAGCGCTGAGGACAGAGACCGCTCTGGGCTTAATTCTGGTGCCACCACTGCCAGCTGAATGCCTTGGTCTGGGCTATTGCATCATCGGTAGCCACCCTTCCTCCTGAAAGCTCAGTAAAAGCAACAGACATGGGAACATCAGGAAACACAGTCACCAAAGCTAACTACGCATTGTGTAGATGAAAACAACACAGAAAATGGGCTGGTTTCACAATGTCAATGTGAGTTTTTAATATGTCCCTTTTGTGCCCAGAAAAGAATATTCAGAGGGCCATGTTGACTTTTTAAAGTTTATGTTTCCTATATTAAAGATGCAAATCGGAAGCCCAGTTTTTCCTTAAGCTTTTGTGTTTAACTTACAAACAAGTATATTTTAATCTCTTTAAAGGGTTGTATTTGATGACTATTTGGTACCATTTATAAATGTAGTTAATGAGATTATTTTAAACAAAATTTTAAATATATTTTATAAATTTAACATATTCCATGCCCTTATAAAGTAATTTGGTCATCTGAGCTAATCAAACAAGACATTCCTGAATACCTAAGAAACTCTTACAATTCTAGCAATTTATATGGCGGTTTAATTCTTAGGTTTTATTAAATGTTCCAAAACTGCTTTTAAAGGAAAGTTTTATTTGGAGTCACACGTCTAAATCAATTACACATTTTGCCCAGTCGGTATGGCTCAGTGGTTGAGCATTGACCCATGAACCAGGAGGTCACGGTTTGATTCTCTGTCAGGGCACATGCCTGAATTGCGGGCTCTGTCCCCAGTGGGGTTGTGCAGGAGACAGCCGATCAATGACTCTCTCTCATCATTGATGTTTCTATCTCTCCCTCTCCCTTCCTCTCTCTGAAATCAATTTAAAAAAAAAATTTAAAAAATCAATTATACATTTTCAATTAGAATTATAATGCCAATTTGTAACAGACTAAATTCTCTTAAACAAAGCAAATACCTAAAATATCAAATATGCACAAATTCCTTATACAAACATATTGATGTTATGTGTTTGATTCTCTTAAATATTATATTCTGAGTTAAAAATTTTTGAATATTAAAACTTACCCACTAGGAAATAATTATGTCATCCTAAATGACCGGGGAGTCCCTTCCCAAGTGAGTTGTTAGAAGCAGGTCTTCAGTGGCCCGAATTGCATAACCAGCAGAGGTTTGTCCCAAGGCTTTCGGGGAGCTCTTCTCAAGCCCTCAAGTGCCCCACTGAGCCCTGTTTTATGGACGCTGTGTCATTACCCTCTGAGTGAGCCAGTTTTACAGCCCAAGGCCCCTAGATTCAAGTTACACTCCATCTCATTCTTCAACCTACACACGGAAGTCAGAAACTCCTACCCAGGTTGCTACACCACTTGTTTGGATATAATTAATCTATTTAAGTATTATCTATTCTGAATTATTTCCGAACTCTTTGCAGCTTCTGGGGTGACAACTCCTACAGATGGTTGAATTTCTCCTGGTGTTGCCTAACTCTGGTCACAGACCTAACGTTATAGCAGAGACATGTAACAGGAAGATTAACGTGGAACAGAGAACAGGTTTGGGGTTAGGATGAATGAAACTCTGGAGAAGGTGGGAGAAAAATGCTATGGAATTCATTTTATTCATTATACTTTTCTGTTATTTGATATGTTTCAAAGGTATTTCTACCTGCCTCCTAAACGAGACAGTGAATCCTTGATTGCCACAACTTAGAAGTGTTTGCCTGGCTCCAAATCACAGCCCCCTCCAAAGCCATACATGTGTTGGGTGCATATTAGGAACTCAGTGATACGTGGAAAAAAGAAAACCCAAGAACTTCTGTGCTCTCTTAAGGCAGTACCTGGGATAGGTGGGGAATTACTGGAGTAGCAAACAAACAAAAAAGAATGAGTTGACACAGGTGTCCCTTACATTTGGACCTCGAATGATTGGATATAATGTTTCCATGAATGAAGACTGAGAGACCGCAGGAGCAGGGGCAAGTCTGGAAGCCGGACAGGTCTGAGCTCAGTTCTAAGTGATTTCCTTGAGATGCCTGCAGGACACTGAGGAGGTTAGTAACAGTAAGTAGATAGAGATGTGTGCCTGGAACTTGGGAGACGGGGGCTGGATATATGCTTTTGGGGGCAGGTAAGTGGCAGTTGAAGCCACAGAAGTGTACCAAGTCACTCAGGGCAGGGTGAGCTGAGATAGGACCTAAGAATAGAAACCCGAGAAACACCATCATTTAAGGGGCAGACAGGAAGCGGAGCCTGCCCATTACACCAGGGTGAAGCCAGGGAGGTAGAAGAGTGCTTTCCTCCTACTTCCAGCCTGTCTTCCTTGGTCAGAAGCAGTTGGTGAGACAGTGATACTGGGGGGAAGACTGTGGTATGACGAGGCCTCCTGGATCTGTGGGGAGCTATATTTGGGGTGGATAGTGTGGGTGTGGTAGGTAGCAGGGAGCCCTCTCCTCCTTAGATCTCTTTTTCGAGAAAGCACGGAAGGGGGTTGAGAGTCACAATTTTTGGATTCTATGCTTTCTCTGCCATATCACATTTCACCAACCATTCTTTCCTTATTCTCACACCTAGTTTGTGTAAGAAAATCTTTCTACATATGGAAAAGGAGGTGTGTGGAGGAGGCAGAGTTGGTAGAGGGAAGGAGAGGGGCTGCCTACTATGTGCATGTGCTTGTGTGCTGTGCACACAGTACACATGTGTGAGTACATGTTTTATGTATGTATATGTGTACATCTTATGTTGGTATTTATGTATGTGTATGTGAATTATGTGTGTATATTTTTCTCTGTGTGAATATTTACTAAGGTAAGTATAGAAATTGAGAAGAAGAATTAAGAAACTTTTATGCCAATTTGATTGATTTAATATGAATTGAACCTAATATAAAATTTAGCCTTGGGTTTTCTATATCTGTATGTTCTATTCCTTTTTATTGTATTTTATGAAATTATTGGTCTGAGGCAGATGGCATATCAAACTGCTCCTTCACCAGTTAGAGAAGCACTAATTAGGACCAGATCAAGATTTTTGAAAGGTCTTGATTCTGAAATTCCCAAGGGAGAGCTATTCACTTGAGAAGTCTGAGGTTCCTGCTCAGGATCATATCAGTGAAGCATGAGGTCAGGTCTTGAGGACAAACAAGGAGGTCAGGCCTGAGATCTGCCCGACATCCCAGGGCTCAGCCTTTTCTTCCTCTCCTTCCTCCCCTTCATGCGAGGTGGGCCCACCAGGCTGTTCTCAAGGGGCTGCTCCTCCAAGCCCAAGCCTGCTCAGGGTGCTGCCCTCCCTCCAGTCTGCCCGGCAAGTGAAGCTGATGTCTCACAGAGATAAGAAGGGGTTTCCAAACCTCCATACTTTGCCCCAGACAGTAACACACCCTCAGTCAGAAACAGCAGTCTTTTATTGAAGCAAAATCAGACACATTCTCAACCCAGGGAATCCAGCCCAGATTCCCTTGCCCTCCTTCCTTAAATAATCTCCCCTGCCTGGATCCTTCTGAACCGTCTAGCCACAGCCCTTCTAATGCCCTGACCTTAGTTTGCATTTGTAATTTTATACTTTTCTTTTTTAAGGCAGTCTCCAAAGCTATATATGCCATAGGCCCCACAAAACCTGGACCCCCCCCCCGCTGAGCGAGATCCTTAGGGCTTGAAGGGCCACATGGTATCACACACTCGCAAAGCAATGGAAGCAGCAGTGAAGGGCTAAGGAGGATCGCCTCTCTCCCCGCATCGTCTCAGGCACCCATCACTGCCCCCTGCTCTGGAATGAAGAGTATGTGCAGCTGGGTGTGTGGGAGAGCGGTGGTATTTGCAAAGAGGCTAAGGATTAGTAAAGAACTCGAGGGAGGAAACGCCGCAGCAGCTCCAGGAGCCTGCAGAGCTTGGGGAGGGAAACACCTGGCCTTAGACAGCATTACCCAAGATCATTGGAACCAGCAGGTACCTCAACTCATCCTTCACAGGCCCTGATGAAGAATGCATCCAGTTGCTTTCCTCGGTACCTGCAATCATGCCCTCACACGTGGTCAGGGACACGGGCCTCTGGCTCTGATGGCAGCTTTCGTGGCCATTCTTGCAGGTTATGATGGGAGTGTGGCAGGGGGCGGCCACACTGGAGAAAGATTCATGCAGGAAGGTGCTGAGGCCTTTGCAGGGTTTCATGCGCTTGTTGACGTTGCCCATGGGCCCTTTGCATGCCTGGGGCCTGGGCTGCACGTGCTGGGTTTCCAACCACTGAGCTGAGGTCATGTGTTTGGGCTTGGCACTGACTGGGACCTCGGCCACCCACAGCCCCAGCAGCAGGAGCAGCGGCAGAGGGCAGAATCTTGCCCTGGCTGGTGCCATCTCTCCTAAGGGGGACAATGGCACCGAGGAAGAGGTAGGTGGGCGAACGGGTCACCATGGGGGGGTGTCCTGCTACCCCGTCTAAGAATTGCATACCCTCAGTCAATCATTGCAGCCTTGAATATTTAAGAACACCATTGGCATTTTATTGTTCAATTTCAGCAAATCATGTGCCTTTTTATGCTTCCAATAAATACTACATTGTTTACCCCTCAAAAGAATTTTATGAGGTGAGTATGATGACTTTTTAAAAATATATGAGCAAACTGAGACTCAGAAAAGTTAAGGAACTTGCCCATCATAAGACAGCTAGAGTGTGTCAAATACAGAATTTTAATCAACGCCTTTCGGCTTCCAAAGCCCCCATTCTTTCCACACTCCAGTGTTCCTTGTTTGAAAGTCTGAGAAGTCAGAACACAAAAGGAAACTAATCTTGGAAGAAAAATAGGCCATGGGTCCATGCCGCACTCTCCCAGGCTAGCTCAGGCGCTCCTGAAAGAGCAACATTAAGGTTGTGGAGTCAGGTTAATTCCTGTCTGTTCTGTGGCCCAGTTTCTCACTGAAGCTGGATAAACAGTCACTCCCAGTAAGGGAACTGCTGCTTCAGCCAGCAAAGCAGCACAGTGATTTGGGTTCTTTCCATGGCTGACGTTTCACCCCGTTGGGGAAAGTCTTGGAATGACAGAGGGTCAGATCATCTCAATCAACTCTCTGTTTTACAGATGAAGGACCTGGAGGTCCTGAAAGAGGAAGTGCCTTTCCCAGGGCCACCGAATGAGTGGCAGAGCGGGGGCCAGGAGCTTCCTGACTTTCAGGCCATCCCTTTGGTCTAGTGCCAGACTGAAAGGGGAAGGAGAAAGGTTTTTCCACAGAAGCAGAGTGTAGTGAGTGTGTCTCTGTTGGTGGTTTTAAGCGGTGCATGAACACTGCCTTCAATAATTCTCTGCTAATCCTCCTGATAACATTTAAGACAAAGTCTCCCATTAGAGCAAGAAGGTAAATTCTTTGTTTCTCCCCACTTTCCAATAGAGACAACAGACCTCAGGCTGAGTTTTCAACTCAAAATAATTCTGGATAGACTTTTTAAACATTGAATGACATTATTGTTACTTCTATTTATTAAGTGACGCTCATATTCTTTGAAAATTTTGTTACACAGTTTCATTTTCAATGCATTATTTGAACTAAATGAATACATCCATATGGAGTAAATTATATTTATATGTTATTGGCAGTAAGTGAGTATTGCAACAATTGTCAAGGGAGGAAGCAAATGACTTAAGTTGGGGAACTTGCTCTGGCTACAGCCTCTCAGGTCTGTGTTGATGTGTTAGACTCAGTCCAACATCTCCACCTCTGGGGTTTGTGTGACTTCACTGCCTTTGAGATAAAATGCTCCTCAAATTGGCAAATATCACATAGGCTTCTAGGATCTGCATTGCCAGGTGGGAAACTTCTGAAAGGTTTGTCCCTCTGCTTCCAAGGTAGAGCCTGGGTCACCAGCAGAGCTCACCTTGCGGTGGGGATCCCTTCATGCACTCCTCCCACAAAGTTAACAAAATATTGATTCTTGAACCCAGGAGAACATTATCCAGCAAGCAGTTGACTTGGGCCCCAGGGAGCAAATATATATATATTTATCCAGGAAGTCACTTCTCTTTTGCAGGCCCTCAGCTGAACCTCTCCCATTGAGATGGAAGGATTACCAAGTGATTATTCTTTAACAGTTGCAGACCCAAGCTTTGGAGTAAAAAGGTGGAGATGGAAGCAGGAGCCAAGGGGGGCAGAAAAATTTCGCGCGGACCAAGATGACTGACCACAGATGTCGCAAGCTCTGAATCTGATTAAGTTGCAAACACTCTTTCCCTCAGGCAGATCCTGACCCTGCAGCTGGCCAGCCCCACTCAAGGGGACCTGGGGAAAGGGTTCTTATGATTGTGTATTTGATCTTAGTCATTCATCACAAGTCTTGCCAACTGCCACAGTCTCAGGGTTGTTTTATGCATTAAGCACTAGATGCTGGGTGCCTAGGGCCTGGGAAGTTTTCAAGGATCTCTAATATTTGAGACTGGGGAAAAAAAATCTTGGCTCCAATACTAGAAAAGGCAACCAAAAGATCATATTTAAATGTATTCACTTAGCAGCTACCACAGTAACATAAAGTAGATTTATTTATTTATTTGTGTGGCATGCCGCATGAGTTTTCTTGTCTTTGTGCAGAGGCCGTGCTGATCTCTGTAGGGTCCCAATTTTGGTATATGTGCTGCTGAAGAGAGCATGATTTTATGTATTTTGAAATTTGGCACGCATAAGAAGTTTATTACTCTGGAAAACAATCTTAGATTAGATTTTCTTATTTTACAGGAATTCCCGAGTACCACAATTGCAGAAGGAACAACACCAATCATAAATTCCTGTAGTCAAATATTTTCAAAAGTAAGACTTATTAAAATAATTTCAGATACATTTCAGATATATTTTATGTATTTAGTGTGGTGTGATGAAATGTTAAAGTACCTAGTCTGATACAGTAGTATTAAACATCACCCTAGACTTAGCATATGACACATTAAGGGGCAGGTCAACACAGGGCTCTACAGTAGGAACAGAAGGAAACGAAAAGTACTAACTACCATTTATAAACATATAATATGTGCTTGGCACAGTGTTGGTTAATAAAAAAGTACTTGTTGTGTGCCAAGGCATTGTGCTATTTACATACAATTTTATATACAAAACAATACTGTGTGTTCCATGTTATCACCCCCATTTTACAGAAAAGGAACCTGGGCCTTAGAGAGGTTAAGGTCCCAGATTTAGTGAGTGGCAGGGCCAGGACTGAAAATGAGGTAGGTCTGGCTCCAAAGTTATCTTGTCCCTCTCTGCCACACTGCTTTCCTGTTTATTAACAGTTAACTTATGGGCTGGGAGTCACCTTGCGACAAATTCCTTTTTTAAAAATCCTCACCCAGGGATATATTTTTTCCATTGATTTTTTTTTTTTAGAGAGAGCAGAAGGGAGGGAAGGAGGGAGGAAGAGAGAGAAGAAGCATTGACATGAGAGAGACACATCAATTGGTTGCCCCCACACAGGCCCCAGTGGGCCAGAGATTGAACTTGCAACCCAGATACGTGCCCTTGACTGAGAATTGAACCCACAACCTTTCAGTCCTCAGGCTGACACTCTAACCATTGAGCCAAACCGACCAGGGCCAAATTTTATTCTAATAGACTGGTCTTTCTATTGTCTCCCGGACGTGTTTTGGTCCCTTCAACTTTACTTCTGTGGTTTTTATTTTATCTTTCCTGAGAACCCTCCCTCAAATATTATCTATCCTTCAGAGCGCAGCCGTATCATGTCATCTTGGTCATATGTATGAGCCTGTACAACTCAACCTCAGGAGAATACCTCCGGAACAGTCTCCTTCAGTATTAACTCCTGGTGCCACTCACTTGGGCACCTTGTTACTTAACTCTTACGTGAGTGTCCAGTCTTCCCAACTAGATAGCAAGCTCATGGTTCAGGAGGCTGGTCCGTTTGTGTTTCTCTGCCTCCATAGTGCCAGCACACTGAGAGCTCACAGGGACACTCAGTGACTGTGTGTTGAACTGAATCACCACTCTGGTCCTCTCAGTCTCCGCATCATTAACAAAGAGTTTCAGTGTAATGATTTCTAAAGTGCCTCCTGGTTCTAACTGTATGAAACAAGAAGAAACATCAATGTGCTAGTAGCTGGATTAGAATGTAAGGAGAGGACCCACAGAAAGACCCCGAATGTAGCTCAAAAGAGGGCCAGTGGATAGTACACGATGATTTCCAAAGACCAGTTCTTTTGGTGAGGGCGCCATAAACGCCTGTGTGGGTTGCTGGCTTGAAGGACAGAGCGCCATGAGGTAGTCTTTGAGCTACACTTGTCATCCCCAGTATGGTTGTTGGGATTTGCCCTACATGCAGCGTTCTGGTGGCGAGAGGCAGACGGTTCAGGGAAGGGGGCTCTGGAGGAGCTGGGCTGGCGCAGGAGGGGCCAGGGCCACCACAAACGGAGTGGCTAAGGGGGAAATGAGGTGAGCATTTTCTGAACCTCAGCTTGGATCCTGCATGAGATTGTCCAGCACAGGTTCCTGGTCCCTCGGGAGAGGACAGAGGTTATGTAGGGGACCAGATTCAGCTGGGACTGATGAGCTGAAAGCGACGCTGCTCTGATAAGGGGATGAGAGAAGAACTGTTGCTGGTGCTGTTTTCTGTAGGCGCTGAGGCTGAGCCAAGCTGGGAGGCAGAGGCCTCGAAGTAAAATTCACCCAGAGAAAAGCTGAATGAAGGTATAGCATTGGCTTCAGGAGGCAGGTGGCTGCTGATACTATTCTGTTTCCCTGGGCACGGTGTAGAAGATTTTCTACTTGCTTTCTGCCAAACAGCTCACACCTCCATGATGGACCACGCGGGGGCCAGGGCAGGTGACTGGGAGGAGCACTTACTCCTGACAGCCCTGCATTTCACTAGCTCTGGCTGTGAGACATTCTTGCAACGCTAATTAAAAAATGAGACCAAGCTTGTGAACATGTAGCTCCCCAGTTACTTCGTGAGTATATAGAGCAATAGAGAGAGAAGAGGGAAAAGAGAATAGAGGAACAGAATGAAAGTCTAGGAAGCTGGGTAGAGGTGAGCTCAGGCTGGCCAAGCCCAGAGGGTAAAAAGGCTGAGAGGACTGCTGGGCGGCTCCTGCTCCTGCGTAGCTCTGGAGGAAGGCTGCCTTGCCCTGGCTTTTCTGAATGTCTTCTTTGGTCTGCTTGTTGGGATCCGGAGTCTTGGCAATGAGTCAACCACCAGGGCAGGGGAGCTGGGTTGATCTCAGATTGGGGTAGGAGCCTTGCTAGAAGCTGCCACAGAGAATCTCTCCAAGGGTGATTCTCCTCCAAGAGGAGTCCCTGGCTCTGAAGGCCCTCGGCTCTGAGGTACCCTGCATTCTGGTTTCTGAACTCTGAGCCTCAGCGCTCTATCA